CACATACATACACACATACATACATACACACATACATACATACATACATACATACATACATACACACATACATACACACATACATACACACATACATACACACATACACACATACACACATACATACACACACATACACACACACACACACACACACACACACACACACACACACACACACACACACACACACACACACATATACATGAATATATACATGTGTGTATTTTTGTTTGTTTTTATCATTATTATTGTTATTTGTGAGTATTAGTGAATTATTTTAGTATTTCCTTTATTTTTTTGCATTTTATATTTTAAGAATTTTGTTTTCATGGTCTGAGTTTATTTTTTAATAATGTATGGATCCTAGTTTCCCTGTCTCTTCATTTTGATTTTGGTTTTTGGTTAGTAATTTGCATGTGGTATCCCTGCATCAGTAAATCCCACACCTCCTCCCAGTACCACATTTTTTTCATGAAAATTCATTTAAAATTTCAACATTAATTCAGCATCTGGAAGAAAGATTGGTCTAGAAGTCATTGATGATGTCTTTAGAAGATTTCTCCAAAAATTAAGGGAAATGAGACTAGTTACTGATCCTGTTGCTGACAAACTTGAGTGCAGGATGGTCAACGATACAGCAGGAGGGAGCAGTGTTCAGTATGTCCTGCTATAAACATTAGGGGCCATGGTTGCACACACTTATGTGACCATGATCACATGCTCATTTTTTATTTCAGTATGGATCTCAAACTTGAAAACAAAGCAGATTCCAAGGTCAGACTGTCAGTGCCAAGTGCCTGAACTGTAGTACAGTGACAGTAAAGTGCTGCATCATGCATTGCACCTGCTCACATTGGATAAAAACACAGATTTGTAGGCCATAACAATATCCTTGTTGATGGTTTTGGTTCTTAAGATTTCTTCCTCTTCCCCGAGATGAAAGGTCATTATTTTGACACCTGTGGAGATCCAATATGAATCAGAGGTGGTTCAGACATTCATAAAGAAGGAGCCTTTGTGCTTGACAAGAGCATTGGGAACAATTTGGTGCTGCTCATTGTGACTGCTTCATTGGGGATAGCAGCCAAATTTAGTCTAAGATACAACTTTTACTTTTTGAAGCCATTCTATGGGAACTTACTGCGAGACAAACCACTTTCTTTGGAGATGCTTTGTTATAGGTGTATTTTTGATTATAGATATGTAAACTTCAGAACATAGGTCTGTGAGGAGGAGGGTATGCTATTTTTAGTATTAATAATAGATTTATAAAATAGTGCTGGTTTTATAGAAAATAAGGTGGCTCTTTTTAAGTTTTGCTTAATGTCATTTATATTAACCTGCTTTGGGCAATTTAAAGGCTGATTTATATTGTTTTACCAGAAGTTTCAAGTGATAGTGAAATGGACTCAGCAGGCAATATCCTTGGTAAGTTTATTTGGGCTTTAGTTGCGTCTTACATTGAGCATTACTTTGGCCAAGCTTTGTGCTTTCCATTTGCTGAACACTGTGTGTACTTTTCTTTTTTGAGCACTTAGTGTAAAGTAGCATAGAATAAAACTATCATCTGTCTGTGATCTTCGAGCACATGAGATTAGAATTATGCTGCTGCATCATATATAATTAATATCAGAGAAAAACTGATTTAGAAGAGCTGATGATTAATTTCCATTTTGTTTTTAATTATTTTGTTATGGTTTATATATATCTATGCCTAAAATCACAAAAAATGGGACAACAAGATATTTGAATATTTGAAACATTAGATGAGAAACAGTTAGTTCCATTCAACTTGTATTGTAATTGTGCATTCATGAAATGCAAACTTCATATTCTTACCTTTGTGATTTCCCTTAGAATCTGTGTTGTTTTCAAACTCAGGATAGAACTTAATACCTGGTATTCCTTATCTTGTATAGGCAAAAAATATGAAGAAGTCCAAAGTCATTACTATAGTATGGGAATATGGCATAGATTTAATTAAAGCCTCTGATTTTTTTCATAATCCCACCCCTTCTTGTATTATTGTTAAAGTTACAAACATTTTTATTTACCCCTGATTTTTATATTGTTTAAAATTCTCTCTTACTTGGTGCTCAGCTGTTCTGAATTTTCTATGAAAAGCAGTAAAGATGCTTTAATGCAAATTCCCTACTTTGCTTTTTTGTTATTGCTTTGCTATGTTCCATAGTCTGTGATGGGTAGATTTAAGTGTGAATTATTTAGAAATGTATTGAACATGTGTGTGTATACAATTTTCAACTATCAGAAAAAAAAGAAGTTTCATCTGTGATAGAAAATGAAATTTTCAGATTTTTGTGTTAACAATAGTTCAATGGTGCCAAGATGGTAAGAATACAGTCCATGTCCACTATGTTGCTTATTATTATTATTATTATAAATTGTCCTTACACATAGAGGGCTCCACAAGTGCTTAATCACCAAGGAGCCAATTACTGGTCCTACCTATCTCATCTGTTTACCCTTTCCTTTTCATCTTCTTCTATTAATATTGTTAATAACACTATGGTAATCATAATGTCAACGGCAATAATAACAACATTGATATCAATAATAACGATATTAACCCACACCCAAATTCCGGCCAGTAACTATAGAGGGGGTTGCCCATTACTGGGGACCTGCACATGAGGCACATATCATAGGTTCCCAACCCAATTGGAGTATGAGACAAGAACACAAGTGTCTCACCCATGTTTTTGCTTTCTCACTGGTGGGACGCCCATCATGATTGGGTTAATATCATAAAAAAAATAAATAAATAAATAAATAAATAAATAAATAAATAAATCTAATAACTCAAGGGAAGAGGAAAACAGGTTTGATCTCATAAGCCTTCTAATTGGTTCACTGGTGGTTGATCACTTGTGTAACCGTCTATTGCAAAAAAAAATGAAAAGAAATCAGTAGATGGTATGATTGCCCAGCAGGAGTGGGTTGATTGAAATAAAGAAAGAGGATGTCAGAAAAGGCATGCATTGTTTTTAGAAAGATGACTGATGCTCTTTTCTGTAAACCTTTCATGTGGGATTGTGTTATGTTTTAGTGTCCATGCACATAGATATTTCTAGTTGTTCATTGCCCTTGATACACTGCTATATGCAGTCAAATATTATGTTTGTCTCACATAAATTTTGTTCACTGTTAGAGCAGTGCACTTGTTTTGTGTTTACTTTCTACCATCAAGAGGATAATAATGATTGATATGGTATATGATATTCATTTTATTATATATGTTTAGTGTAAGACAATACTTGTTAAAAGGCTTAGATAAGTATTTTATCTCCCCCCATACTCTACCATTTTGATATGGTTCTTCACTATATTAGAAACTATTTTCCAGCACTTGTCCCTATGACATCACATACATTAGTTTGGCCCATTTGTCATATCTTTGGCAGTACTTGCTTTCAATAATATTCTTTTACATTGTTGAAATCAAGATACTGAGTAATGGCATGTGAGTTCCTAAGAACAAGGAAAGTAAAATCAGAACAGGGCATACATAAATATTTAAAGTTATCATTCAAAATTTATTATCATTTGTATCATAGACCAGTTACATTGCTCTAGGACTCTTGAGCAGACTATATCAAAAATTAAAGATTTGTAAATAAAGCTCTATAGCTTGGGTATGCTGCTGTTTATGTAAAGGATCTTCCAGTATATGTGCTGGTAGAGAAAAATACATTGGAAGAGATTTAACCCAAAACTTTAGGACAGTTTAAATAACTACATCTTTCTTCAGGTTAATTACAAAACAATGGTGTCTTTTGTGCAGCAGCCTAAAGAATGATTGAATACTGCTTTATATGATGTATTGTGGATTTCAGTGTTCACATCTCTCTTTATTGTGATTGTTTATGCTAGCTTTTTTATTTCTGTACTTGATAAAAAGTGTTGATATGTAACTGCTTTTTGTGATATTCTGTGCAATATGTGTGTGTGTGTGTGTGTTTAAATATATATATATATGTATATATATATGTATATATATATGTATATATATATGTATATATATGTATATATATATATATATATATATATATATATATATATATATATATATATATATATATATATATATATATATATATATAATTTTTTTTTATGGAAATTGCAGGATTTAAGATGTTCACTGTTTCCTAAATGGTTGTAGGAGAAATATTTTTGCCTGTTGGATATAATTTCAGCTTTTGGATGAGTACATATGGTATCTAAGGTTCTTGTAATACTAAGCATTGGAAAAAGTAAGGACTGCAAACCAGCCAGGAGATTGTCAGTAAAACAAAATGCCTCCCCATGACCTGATTGGCCTCTATGTTGATGTTACAGGTCCTGGAGCATCTGTTCCATGGAAGAAGGACCCCAATGATCCCAATGATGACTGGTGTGCTGTTTGCTGGGATGGAGGCGACCTAATATGCTGTGATTATTGTCCAAAGGTAAGAAGGCATTCAGAGGCTTGTGTGCTATATTGTAACATTTCCGTGCATTTTCTATATTCTGGACCTTCTTGTGATTTTGATGTTTATTAGTGTATGCATTCATTTGTATTGTTTAGTTGCTAATTAATGAGTTTGGTTTTTAGGTTATGACTATTTCCCTTCCATGAATTCTTCAATCACTTTTTGCTCTGAAGTTTTAATCAGTATAATCTGATGTTATTGAAATATATGAATTGTCCTGTCGTATTCTCTTACTTCATATGAGTAATGCAACCAACAACTGATAAATGAAAAGACACTTTAAATGGCAATTTGCCCAACTGAGGACCATGATTGGCTCAAAAACATTTGTTATTCATTGTTAGCATCTAATTTGGATATCTTAGTTGTTGTTTAAATTTACAGTTACAGCATCATATATATATATAT